ATGTGGAGATGGGTAAATGGAGTGGTGAAAATGGGTATACCGGTTTATAACCTAAGCTGAGAGATTCGTATGAAGGATTTGTAAACTTGGCAGGTATGAAAATAATTGTAGCTCACAATATACCATGAAATGAATTTAGTTGTTCAAGGTTACGTTATGAAAATTACACATCTAAGCGGTACATTTGTTCATGCGTGACACAAGAAACCGCAAGACCACCTTGCAGCTTGCAGACCATCTTGTGGGATTTAGTAAGGCAACAGTTGGGCATACCAAGGCTTTGATCTAGACTATAGAGCACGTAAAATTGTTTCTCGAAGAAAACTCTTTATGTCATTTGCACGAAAAGGATCATTTAGTGGCGTCAATGAGTATACCTGTTGATACGTGATTTTTATAAGGATTTGTAAACTTGGCAGCTATAAAAATAATGCTAGCCTAGTGTAGACCATGAAATGAATGTAGTTTTCCAAGGTTACGTTGCATTAAGGGTACTCTAAAGCTCTACTCTACACTTCAACTATTTCCCTCAGAAAACTCAGTTTGTAATTTAAATGAATGAAATCATTGTGTGGCGTCAATGAATATACATGCTTATGAGCTAGGCATGAAGGGTACCATTATAAACATTTTGTAGCTTAGCAAAAACAGTAAATAAATGCAGTGATCAAGGTTATGTAATGCAAAATTACTTATCTAAGCCTGGTAAATTTGTTCATGCATGACAATAGAAACCGCAAGACCACTTTGCAGTTTGCAGACCATCTTGTGATTGATTCAGCATGGAGTACGCCAAGGCTCTAGGGCACTTTCAGTTGTTCTCTATGGAAAACTCAGTTTGTGCTCCACAGTTGGTAGACTGTAGCCTCTACAGCAGTCAATTACAGAACCATCAACTAACGACCGAGGCTAGAGAGTGAAACAACGCCAAGGCCGGCTTACGACAAATAAGCTTTCCATTTTCCGCCGAATAAACATGTTTGTGGCCCACGGGCGGTGACCATCTACTTCTAACGACAGTAACGGATACGGGTAAATATGTTTTTTAGCCTAGTAGATATTGTAGTATCAATAATAAGTTATAAATAAAGTTTAAATTTGTATTGTGTACTCTATATAGCTTGGATTTTGGTTTTGTTTGATCTTTGTATTTTTGGAGATAAAGCAAATGTGTTTTAATCTGCAAACATGCTGACGGTGGCATCAAATTAAATAGAACCTATGGTACAGTATTTAGTTAAGTGAATGAGTATAAATACGTTTTAGCTAAACGTTTAGCATTTTAGAATCACAAAGCAGATGAAAATTTGACAAGCAATTCCTGAAAACACATGCTACTATAACAAACTTTTAAAAACGCACAAAAAGATTTTTAAGGCTGATCGATTGGCGTTTCACGAGGGAAATCTATGTCAAACATATGCGGGCAACATGCCAAGGTTGATCCTATAGTGATATTTTGGCAGTAGAGCAACCTATTGAAACCCAACACATGCTACCTAGCTTTCTATACGTCTATCGCTGGGATCCGTTATGGACATAATCCAAACAGATTTGAAGTTCCACTTCCAAAGACACATGAACAGTCAACTAAACAGCCTGGACATTTAAATTGTGTTTAGGATCTTCGTTTGTGTTTTAATGTATGCAATCCTGGACAATCATTCCTCCTAATTCATTTAAATAACCCTTAAAATCGCTGATCTTACATACATTAGATACAAGAATTTTAACTTCCGCACTAAAACTGTGTGATCACACGGATTCCTGCCCAAGAGGGAATGAATTGTTCGATAACTTATTTTGGAAAATTGACAAAAAAATTTAAATAATTCTTACAAAATACTTGTTAATATAAACCTAATAAAAAATTACAAACAACAACTCGTGACTTATGTCTCCTCTTCCTAGCAATCCTGTACAAAAATATACTTTCGAATAACTTATTTACATTTTTCCTCTATCTATGAATATTCGCGATTACAGGAAGCAAAGACTAGTTTTCCGAAACACCAATTTTCTCGGAACCCCAAGATTGCCTATAATCTGGTCCATAGGACTCTCCTTCAAGGATTCCAGGACGTGGTTCCAGCAGTGACGTCAGCACTCTGGATACCTGCCCTGAACTGGGAATGAATTATTCAGAACCTCAGCCCACACTATGGCGTCATCTGTTTAAATCTACATCCATTTCCTCGTTTAGCGGCTTCTAATTTTTAAATGAACTTTTGAACCTTGTGATGGATGAGTACGCGTGTTCCCATTTGTTTTGGCAGCTGCTGATAAACCTTGGGTGGATATTTTCAAAAGTGACATTTTGTTGGTTATTTTAATATCGTTTATGAATATATTGAACCGTGAGATGGAGCTTGTTGAAAATTATAAATAATAATTCTTTTTATTTTTACTTATGTCGTCAATTAATTCATCACTTAATTAATAAGGAGTGTTGATCTAAAATGTTGTGTGCATAGGTTGACGTATGTGTTGATTCCACTTTCTTCTACATTATGCACATCGGTTATAGATTATTCTGTGTTAGTACTGTCAGATCAACCTAGCATGAGATCAAGATCAAATAGGTATTATTAATCCAATAAGCTGTGATAAAAGGTATTAAAACATCGCCTTAAAATTGAATGGACGATCAATTACTTGTGTAGAAAAGAATATGACACAACACAGTTGTATGGTTGTATGCAATTATTCAATAAAGAAACAATGAGTTTTCTTGGATATAAAATACCATTCATATTTGACACAGTAAATATGAAGAGAAATATTATTTAACCAAATTTAAAACATTGGAATCGCGACATGGTGATTATTTTTTGGCGACAACAAACGTAAATTCTTCGACTGGCAAACGTAAATCTCGCTAGCCTTGCAAGCCCCAAACAAAAGACAAGATCTGCAAACAGATACGATTTACATTGATAAGTGACCTCAGTTCAAGGATAGATGCGATCGAGAGATGTGATGACCTTTGACCTCCCCCCCAGGGGTAAAGGGGATGAGATTGAAATTCTGTTTGTTTAACAGCTGGAAGTGAAAGTGTTATGAAGGGGTTGACAGATATAAGAGAAAAGAATCCGAAGTTTATATCAAGTTTGCTTTGTGATTGGTGAATAGCGTGGTAGGTATAATGGAAAAAGCGTAGTTTCAAATCCTAGAATTGGAGGTTTGTATACGGTTTGCTCTTTATATCCCGATAAACGGATGGCAGATAGAACGAAGAAGCTTTTTTCAGATAATAGATTCAGATGTTTGTATAATTTTTAAGAAAGAGAAACCGAAAAAGGGCACAAAGTAAGTACTTGGAATACTTGATCAAGCCCAATATCAAGAAATTCAGATGCAATATTCTTCCACTAAGACAACTAGAGAGGTTAAAAAAATATAAAATTAAGTAGCTTGAAAAGAGTCGAATGAGAAAAATAATACAGAGACAAATCTTACAGCAAAAGCTGAACCAAATGAATATCACAATACTCTTTCAAAAATTAGATAAATTTACCCTTAGTTCTCAAGGGTCTAACAGCTTGGTAGATTAAAAAGGAGAACGACTCTTTGCAAACACTACTTTTTCGAATTTCTAAATACAACTTTTATGCATAGTAACACTAGGATGATAATGAAAATGGAATAAAGAACAAGAAATCACTGATGCAGGAGCATAGGTCGCTGCATCAAAGACCAAAGATGCAGAGGTCACAGTTATTACCTCGACGAAGGAACGATAAGTTGTAATAAGGGAAGTGAAAGTACAAGCTAATGACCATAGCACCATAATCGTGGATTTCTCTTGCAAATGTTCATTGAAAGTAATGGGTAAGTATCTTAAGTTATTTCTATGTAATAGGCGTGATTATTCACTTTAATGGCGCTATTATCGTACTTAACTCTACAATCCAACGATTTAATCCCTCACGTGTGAGTGGGGGATGTAAAAGATTATCTTTAGGTTAATTATCGTTAAATTATTGTTTACTTTTTTACTGTTGTATTAAAAATAAACAGTCGTGTGAACTTTGACAAAAGATTATGTTGAGTTTTTAGATGTAATTTGCACTTAAACTATAATATATTAATTTTGCGAGTTTAATAACATTTTTAAAGGAAAATATTTGTTAGAAATAGAGACTATTTTGGTAAACGCAAGAATAAATATTTATTAAATGCATAATTAAAATGATTTAACGTACATTATGTTCGATGAGAAGTTCAGTTTAAAAAAATATATTACAGTACTTTAATATCAGTTTGGTTGACAATGTAGATCAAATTGAAGACAACTCGTTTCTAGGACATTAAGAATTCAATATAATGTTACTATTAAAAACCTTTAAACATATCACCAGAATTTTGTGATTGAAATAAAGCTTTTAGAATATATACATTTAAATAACTATTTAATTTAGTTTTTTTCAAACAATTTTAGTAACACCTCTTCATAGAATAAAAACTATTTAGTACACATAAAAGCGTATTTGTAGTTTTAAATTGTAGTGTTAGTTTTAATTTATTAGTAGGCCTATGTCTAAAAGAATTTATACTTCTTAGTATCAATTAAATATGAGTAGTTCTCACAATCGTTTCAAAATTTGAACCCAAAATAAGCCATGTTATGTTAACTTAAAAGATTATTATTTACAAAAGGTATATTACTGTATTTGTATAAAAAAAACCATAAACATAAAAGATGGTTACACTATAGATAATGAGATGAATTTGTATTATTCTACCAGTTACTATACAATATAATTGTGTTATTATTTAAATTAATGTATATATTTAAGGATAAAAGTTATACTACATGGTTAGTACCACAGTTCACCCAGTATTCATGTGTATTTTTTTTAATTGAAAAAATTGAGTATTTAATGATTATTTATATTTTATGACAATACATTTACCTTGCACACAAAATCAATTTAACAACACGATATCTGTTTAATACAATGTTTACAAAAATTACTCCAAATACAAATAAAACTCACCATTATCATATTGACGACCTAATGAGGTAGACGAGGACAGTCAGCAATCCATACCACACACACTTAGTACTATAGTACTACGGTACTATAGTATTACGGTACTACAGTACTACACTGCCCACCGCACAGTCACCGCAGCGGCTTGAGCCGTACTGAGTCGGTCTTCGGTACCGCCTTCTGCTCGCCCGACCGTTCTAGTCCCCCTCCAGAGCAGAATCTAGCGCCTACAGAATCAGAATCAGTATCATTTGATTGTTGGGTTAAAATGCTGTCGTTTGAGGTTAACGGATGTGTATTAGAGGTTCACAAGTGCATGTTAAGTCGTTTCATGGATTTTAGCGTAAATCTGAAAAAGGTTCCATTTAGATTACAAACTCCAGTATAATTTGGTTAATTTATCCGGGGGTTAAACGTGAAAATACATAGTACGGAAGTATATTGTGTCTCAAATTCTTATTAGATCTAATTTGATCTAAACTAATTGATCTAATAATGCCGATACCTGTCCTAATACAATGATTTAGTAAGGTAATAAGTAATTAATTTAACCGGATTTACATAAATGCATCGGTTACGTCAATTACAATAATACATAATACAAAGTGCCTTACCCTACATGTATTTAGCTATTTATATTTGTAGAACATTTACCTATGAATGGCTAGTAATACCCATGACGTAAGATCCATCGATCGTAATGTAAAAACTTTGGGGGAGCGAGCTGGTCTAGTGGTTAGAGCGCGGGACTTCGGTTCCAGATGTCCCGGGTTCAAATCCCACCAAATCACTAATGGATTTTATCTATGTGATAATACTGCAACCCCTAGGTCTAGCCTGAAGTAATGTGAAAACAATTCCGGGCTCGTGCCTAGCGTCTTAAGACAAAAAATGTAAAAACTTTTTGATTATTTGTAGAAGATTCTTCATTTCCGTGTTAAATGTTTATCAAGCTAGAATTAAAATAAATGTAGTAAAATTAAGCTACCGATAATATAGTCATTAGGTTGTCACTTGCTAGCTATGTACTGCTCATTCAAGATTCAAACGTATTTTATTGAAATATAAAAATTGCTAAAGTTCATCCAAATCAATACAACGTCTACACTGGTATCCAAAAACCCACTGTGAAAGTCTTTAAAAGTTGTGAAAGCTCATTTCGTATTTTACAAACGACGACGGCAAAACATTAGTGGGTTTTATGAGGCGGTAAGTGGCATGATCGTGTAAATCTCTTGTAGAACCTCCAAACGAAACGAACGTCCTTAGGTTGTGTAAAAACATACAATTAATCACTATAATAACTATATTTTGTCAGTGAATACATTAAGGAAGTTGAGTAAATGGCATCTCCATGCAAACACCACAATAATAAATAAACTGAAAATTCACAAGAAAATCTGTACAAGGAATGCCTTAGGTATAATTGTTTTGTTTTTTGTTAGATCTTCTCATCATTTTGTTAGGCAATGTGTTGGAGGGTAAATATATTTAATCTTCTTTATGGCCAAAGGTGGAATGTTTTTAAGGTGCTTTTAAATTTTTTAATTAATGCTGTGGTTTAAAAAAGGCGTTATTCCTCAACAGTTACACTCAAGTAGTTAAGGCAGTATTCTCTAATACCCAAACTACACACTGTCTAGTTTCTCTAATGAGTCAAACTAGACAAACGTTAGTTTACAATAATTATTCCAACTATTGAACATAGTATTTTATTTTACTCATTAAAATTAATTAAAAATAAAGACAACGATTAAAGTTTAAGTCAATAAAAAAAGGAAAAATAACAATATAAATGTATATTTTTAGGAGACTGATTAATCTACTAAAGGTATTTACATTGTATCGCATAACAACTGAGAGACCTGTACCAAATGGGCGGCTGTAGGCCTATGCCAGTGGGATGCTGTAGGCCTAGGCCAGTGGGCTCAGGTAGGCCGAGGTTGATAAGTAGGAGAACGTAAGCTGGTGGGTAAGTTCTGGCAGACGCTCAACACCTAAGCTTGAAATATGAATCTTCCGTGGTTATATTACGCGTATTAAGGATACACCTATAGAGTATTTACTCGACATATTTTATTTACTGGTACATGCATTGACAGCATAATGCTACCGAGATAAATGCGTAAGAAAAACTAGAGAGGATAAATACATCATCAGTTGTAATAGATAAACTATTACCGGTAATGAATAATTCATGATCTAACATCATCGTGTGGTTTATAAGATCTGAACCTGAAGTTTACAAATAGAATGATTGTGTGTGAAGTTTAAGTTTAGTTTAAATTATCTTAACTGATGTGTTTCTTAAACACTTTTACAAAGGAAATTTTGCAAACCCATCTCATCCTTATTTCTATAGTTTTACTTGAAACACCAATATAACTTTAATAGACTTCATAACTTTGGAGTGAAATATTGGCATTCACTTTCCTAGTACTGTAACTAGTAAAGGTACCTTCAGTCACAGAGGATTTAACCGTAGATTTTGTATCCTGATGCAGTTCTATTTATATTTATCAGTAGTGTTTGAACTTTTCACTAAAATATGACGAGAGTAAGTCACTTATAACATTCTATTCTTTCTCTTAGTTTTTGATACTTGAAAACTTTTTGGTACTCTTAGTAGCTTGAGTAATTAATGATAATTGACACTATATAGCACTTGTAATAGGCTATGTGTCTTTTTCTGTCCATAGCCAAAATTGCATTTGGTGAACACTTCCGAAAAGATCATTTTGACTTTTAAATAAATTGTTGAGCTCATCAATGACTGACGTTGTATCAACAATTTAAGCTACACCTATGATGATAAACTTTCACTTAGACCAAATAGTGGGTGGTCTAAGGAGGGACTGAGGAAGTAGCGCGAACTGGATGGACCTATTATACCGTAAACACCCTTGATTGCTCGGTCCGGAACTGGCGAAATCGGAACGAAAGCTAAGTTTGAACACACAATAGCCCAGTGACCGGGTCATACAGGCAATCTGCTGAGTTAGGTTGAATCAGCCTCTGTCTTCCACCCACTCAACACAACTCTCTCCAAGATGACAGTTTATTAAGTCTCAGTATATAGTCATCTTCACCTTTCAGTTTGGTTGATCAGTCGGTCCTTATTCAACATGATTAGCCTTTCACCCTCTTGTTATTGGTCTTCGTATTGCGTTCAAAGACTAATGGATAGTCGACTCAACTGGTGTAGCTGTGGTTGAGTTAGGTTAGGTTTTATTTCCAAATACAGACAATACTGTGAATAATACGAAATGCTTATTAAGTACATTGCTCATGCGTTTCTTCCGAAAACAAATTATGGAGACGATGAAACAGTCACGATGTTAGGGTGCTTTTGATGGCAATCCCTCAATACCTAGAATTAGGGAGGGTCTCTTAACCCAAGCTAGAAATGATTAAATAGCCACAAAGGGACAGTTATTGCAAGACCATGTAGCCATGAAAGGAATGGAGGAAATGGCGCTACTTTTCCCCCGTATCCTCCCTGAGTGCAGTCTTCTAACGTGAAATTAGGTAAAAGGGTAACCAAGTAAATCTTCATAAAAACTGAACATATGAGTTGACCTGAAAGTAAGCAACTTATTGCTTAAAGCCTGATTTACATCAAAATCGTGAATGGTGGCTTTCACTATAGATAGAACTAGACAATCCTTTCCCTTTTAACCGTGCCACCAGTTTTAGAATAAGAATGAACTTAATCGAGTTGAAAATACAAACGTGTATAATATAAACTACTGATTCATCTCAAAAAGATATGCCAACGTGTTGATCAAGCCAAACTGAAACGGCTATCAATTGTCCTTCTACAATCCTTTGTCACCAACACTATCACTACTAAGAGACTAAAGCTCACTTTCTGAGTGGCCCTTTGAACTATTTTCTTCTTCAGGAAAAATACCTACAGCTTGTCCATACAGATAGTATTTCAACAGAGTATTCAAAAGTCAATGGTTGAAGGCTGAAGACAACTGTGATGCAGAGCTACTAGTCTTTGTCAGACAGCGCGTCGTCTGCTGGTCGTCCTTGGAGTCTTTGCTAACTGCAGAATAACCAACATCGCTCATCTTCCTTCACTTGTCTCCATCAAGGTGACATTTGCGCTAATGCTGCTAGCTCTCTCGCTTCATCTATCTGTCAGTTTCATAACCCGGCCCAGATCCAGCCATTCACTGGTGTTAAGCCTCCTGTGGCTTTGAAGGTTATGTACTTGATGTCACGAGGTCTTTTTGGTGCTAGAAGAGATTCCTGATGAACATTTAAAGAGTGAGAAGTCGAAATATTCCGTTTGTAATTTTAGGAAAACATGAATTAATTAAAGAACCAAAAAGACATGAGAAAAATCGATTGATGGAAGACCGAGGATAAGCTGTTGGCTAGGCCAAAACCTGCTTAGGTTGAAGTGGCCAAGGTATGAATTAATTAGCTGAAACTAATGTTATAAATTGAAAAGTAGCTTTGAACAAAATCGTTAATTCTTTATGCATGTACATTATAAGTTGGAAAACATTTCATCTGCAAAATTTTCCGTGTGCGAAACTGAAAATGCTGTAAATTGTACTAGTGTTAAGATAAGAAGTATGATGTGTACAGGGTGTCCCGGAAGTAAACAGCCGAACTCTGGAAAATATCTCTATGGGTCAAAATAAAGAGAAAATCAAGAACAATATTTTTACAAAATCGCTTCTTTTAACCAGATTGGGAAAATACTTCAGAAAGAGTATGGAAAAACTTTTCTGGGCATAGTGTTAAATACCTAAATACTGAGTTTTAATTCAGCAAAGCTTGGCCCCTGAGTACCAAAACAATTTATTGTTGCTTAATTTTGCTTAACATAAAAACTTACATAAATAACATTAAAGACGCCATTGAACAAGGCTTGCTCTTAGAGTAATGCCAATGGTCTTCCTAGGGACAACGCCTAGTCCCTCAGGCACTTAAGGAAAAAATGTGTTTATATAAATAAACCTAACATATATAAGAGGTGATGGGAATACAAGGCGTTAAATAAAAGAACCATCACATCAAGAAAATAAATCACGAAGACGCCGTGGCGGTGCAAGCGGAAATGCCAATATTAAATTTTAATACTCCACTTAGGCGGTTAGGCCTAATTCTTCATACCTCTTGTAATTCGGAGTTTTAAGT